ATCATATACTTTACAAAGTGTTCACCCCCCTATTTCCAGTACCCACCTGGCACCATACATAATTATCACAATTATATTGACTATATTCCCTATCCTGTACTTTATTTTATTTATTTTTTGCACTTCTCTTTCACATAATTTATTTTACTCCTATTATACCAAACAGCATTTTAAACACTGACATAGAAAACCCTCTAACAAAATAAAGCAAAGACAAAAGCGTTTATCTTATGACAAATGAGATGTGACAGTCTTTAAATGTTATTGCACTTTAACTTTCATAATTTCATAATGCATTCATGAAACAATCTGCAGATAGCTAGTTTTAACAAATTAATGAACACTTTTAAGCGGACATGACGGTCCTAAATTGTTTATTAGGTAAGAATTTTACAAACATTACTTATATTAGCGGTAACAATGGAGCTGGAGAGTATTGCGCCTTCTCCAAGCTGCACGGCCCTCACTGCCTGCAGATGTCAGCCCTCTCATGTCCTTGTGTGTGTGGACTGCTTGGTGATCCACTGGATGTCAGAATTCCTTCTGATAACCTTATAGAATGGATCAATGAGGATAACCTCAAAGAACTTGTATGTGGAATCTTCACCAACCCAGGAAAAACTCAGGACACTCAGTGGCGTCCGGCTTGCTCCTTGGCAACAAGACTGAAGGCTTCTAGCAAACTTTAGCTGGTTAACACCATGATAGACAGGCTTTCCATAGGTTGCACCCTCAGGTCACCTTAGGCCACCACAGTGCACACAAATCTGATATATGACATGACCTTGTTTGGCCTTGTATCCTAGCCTGTGCACTTTATTGGGCCGGGTGAGGCAGGGGGGAAGGGAGGTGGAAGGGGGCCCTGTGGAGCTCAGAGAGCTGGTGGTACTGTCAGCAGTGCACCCTGAGAAGGAAGTGCATTACATCGGACGTCTTTCTCCATAGCTCCTGGATGCACTCGTAAGCGCCCATCTTGGCTTACTTGATGGATGTGGCCCTATGCTGTACTTTGCATCCCCATAACTATTTTGTAACTATCATTTTGTATGTCTCAATTACTTCACCTTTTTCACCCAGTCCCCCAAACCCACTCCCCTCTGGCAACCATCACTCTATTCTCTGTTATCTATGAGTCTGTTTCTATTTTTTTGTTTTGTTCTTTAGATTCCACATAATAGTGAAATCATATGATATTTGTCTTTCTCTTTCTGACTTATCTCACTGAGCATACCTTCTAGGTCCATCCACACTGTCAGAATGGTAAGATTTCATTCTTTTTTATGGTCAAGTAATATTATATTTGTGTACCACCATTTTTTTTATCCACTTGTCTATTGATGGGAACTTGGGCTGCTTCCATATCTTGGCTATTGTAAATAACGCTGCCATGAACATAGGAGTGCATATAGTCTTTCAAATTAGTGTTTTGGGTTTCCTTGGGCATATAACCAGAAGTGGAATCATGGGTCATAAAGCAGTTCCATTTTTAATTTTTAAAGGAAACTCCATACTGCTTTCCCCAGTGGCTGCTCCAATCTGCATTCCCACCAACAGTTCACAAGGGTTTCCTATTCTTCACATCCTCGCCAACACTTGTTGCTTGTTGACTTATTGATAGTAACCTTTCTGATAGCTCGTGGTTTTTATTTTTATTTCCCGGGTGATTAAAGATGTTGAGCATCTTTTCATATGTCTATTGGCCATCTGTATGTCCTCTTTGGAGTAGTGTTTGTTCAGGTCCTCTGCCCATTTTTAAAAATGGATTGTTTGTTTCTTTGATGTTGAGTTATATGACTTCTTTATAAATTTTGGATATTAACCCCTTATTGGATGTAGCATTGGTGAATGTCTTCCAATAGATAGGTTGTCTTTTCATTTTGTTGATGGTTTTCTTTGCTGCACAAAAACATTTTTGTTTAATGTAATACCATTTGTTTATTTTTTCTTTGGTTTCTCTTCCCAAAGAGATATATCAAAAAATATTTTGCTAAGAGAAATGGCTGAGATTTTACTGCCTGTTTTCTTCTAGGAGTTTTATGGTTTTGAGTCTTACATTTTAAGTTTTTAATCCATTTTGAGTTTATTCTTGTATATGGTGTACAAAGCTCCTCTAGTTTCATTTTTTGCATGTATCTGTCCAATTTTCCCAACATTCATTGAAGAGATTGTCTATACTCCATTGTATATTCTTGCCTCTTTTGTCATAGATTAATTCACCATAATGGCATGGGTTGATTTCTGGGTTCTCTGTTCTGTTCCACTGTTCTATATGACTGTTCCTGTGCCAGTACCATGCTGTTTTGATTACTATGGCCTTGTAATATAGTTTGATGTCAGGTAGCATGATTCCTCCAACTTTGTTCTTTCAAAATATTGCTGTGGCTATTCAGAGTCTTTTGTGGTTCCATATAAATTTTTGGAGTATTTGTTCTAGTTCTGTAAAAAATGCCATTGGTATTTTGATAAGAAATGTGTTGAATCTATAGAATTAATGATGTTATCTCTTTCTATCCATGAGCTCAGTATATACTTCCAGTTATTTGTATTTTCTTCAATTTCTTTCTTTAGTGTCTTACAATTTTCAGAGTACAGAAGTTTTACCTCCTTGGTTAAATTTATTCCTAGGTATTTTATTTATAATGATGCAATTGTAAATGGAATTATTTTCTTAGTTTCTCTTCCTGATAGTTCATTATTGGTGTGTAAAAATGCAACCAATTTCTGACTATTTTGTATCTTGCTATTTTACTGAATTCATTTATCAGTTGCAGTAGTTTTTTGGTGGAATCTTTAGGGTTCTCTATGTACAATATCATGTCATGTGCAAATAATGACAGTTTTACATCTTCCTTTCCAATTTGAATGCCTTTTATTTCTTCTTCTTGTCTGATCGCTGTGTCTAGGACTTCCAGTACTATGTTGAATTACAGTGGTGAAAGCAGACATCCGTGTCTTGTTCCTGTTCTTTGGGGAAATGGTTTTAGTTTTTAGCCATTGAGTATGATGTTAGCTGTGGGTTTGTCATATATGGCCTTTATTATGGCCTTTACTATTCCCACTTTGCTGAGGGATTTTTCATAAGTGGGTGCTGGATTTTGTCCAATGCCTTTTCTGTATCTATTGATATGATCATATGATTTTTATCCTTCATTTTGTTTATGTGATGATTCACACTTATTGATTTGAGAATATTGTGCCAACTTTACATACCTTGAGTAAATCCCACTTGGTCATGGTGTATGATCTTTTTAATGTATTGCTGGACCTAGTATGCTAATATTTTGTTGAGGATTTTAACATCTATGTTTATCAGGGATATTGGCTTATAATATTTTTCTGGCTTTAATTTCAAAACCCGTTTTTATCTGGTTTTGGAATTGAAATAATGCTGGGCTTGTAAAATGACCTTATAAGTTTTACCTTCTCTTGAGTTTTTTTGGAACAGTTTGAGAAGCGTAGATGTTATTTCTTATTTGAATGTTTGGTAAAATTCACCTATGAAGCCACATGGCAAGAAATCAAAGCCTGAAAGTAACCACATGATTGAGTTTGGAAGTGGATCTTCTGAGGCTTACCAACAGCCACATAAAAGTGCTTGGATGTGCACATTCCACCCCAATTGAGCCTGCAAGTGAGACTGCAGCCCCAGATGACAGCTTGAGTGCAACCCCATGAGAGACTGTGATTCAGAAGCACCCAGCTAAGCCATTCATAGATTCTTGACTCACACAAACTATCTTATAAAAAGTGTTTATTTTATTTAAATTTTAAATTGCTAAGTTTTAAGGCAATTTGTTATGCAGCAATAGATAACTACTACATACTCTTTGATGCAGAAATTCCATTTCAATGTACATATGCTAGAGAAGTTTTTCCCCCAATCTTTTTTATATCAAAGCATGTGTTTAAAATGCTAATATGTATACCAGCTCACTAAGATGAACACAGTCTGCTCTTAGCCAGAGACAACAGTCTCCAGGGCAGCAGTGAAATTAGATCCATCTTCCTAGGAGGCTAAGGGGATCAATATATCAGAATACTCATTATTTAGTTGGAAAGCTCTGCCCAAGAGAAACTCTTCCATATTGTCACAAGGAAACATGTTTATTAAATCCTCATTTATAATGGCACAAAACAGAAACAACCCAAGTCCATTAGGAAGGGGAAAAATGAAAGAAATTGGAAATTCATGTTAAAGTGAATTTTTCTCTTTGTTCTACATATTATTTATTTAATGGTTTGAAAGTCATACATCTTATTTCTATTCTGTTGGTACCCCAAACATTTCTTGTTCTATTATGCATTTTATTTCCAGGCAGAACAAAACTTTGCTATTGTTGTGAACCTATTTGCTATTGTTACAATTATTAGAGATACATTGTAAAGTGCAATTTTAAAAAAGGAGTTCAGAGTTCAAGTTGTATCAACCCAAAAGGCATAGCTATAATGTTTTAAAATTGTAATGCAATTACCAGAATATGAACTTGTGTTGTGCTTCATGATTGATCATTTCTTTTGGATAGAGTAGTTTGATTATGTGATTAACAACAAATTCTACTGCAAACAGTTCAATTTTCCTCAAGCAGGTTAAAAAAAAATTTAACTTACTGCAACTCTAAATATACTTTCACATTTTTAATACTTCCAATACAAACCATAACATGTAACATAGGGTATATATTAATATAATTACTTTCTCATTGGAATTAATCAGAAAGAATTTGCAGATTTCATTTTATTTAAAAAAACAACAACAAATAGAACAGAAGGAAATATGGCTAAATGGTTAACATTGTTAAAGCTGGCTGTTGGTTACATTTCTGTCATTTTCTGTATCCTTGGTGAATTAATCATTTAAAATGAAATAAAGCTTTTGGGCCCACCCCAATTTGTCTAGAGCAGCTGCCGCCCCCGCCACATCAAGGGGGCGGCCCCAGCTGTAGCCACCGTCACTTCCGCCCTCGCAGTCGCCGCCCGCGGCTCTTATCTAGCTGTGGACGAGCCTGACGCGGAGCAGCGGCTTTGGCGGTCCTGGCTGTAGGAGGTCCGAGAGCACTGCTCCTCCCGAGGGCGCGGGTGTTCGGACTGGTGAGTGAAAGGCTGTTGATGTTCTGCATTCATCCAGACAGGGCGGTGGGGCGAGTGGCCCGGTAACTGGGAGAGGATTTGGAGGAGCTCTAGCTAACAGATTTTCCGGCTCGCCCCTCGGGAAGGGGTGGGGCGTTCGCGGGATCTGACTGCAGTGGGAGGCCTGTGTCCTCGTCTGCCTTTTTGGGGGCCCATCCTCTATCCCTCAGCTCCTTTCCTGTGGCGCCACCCCCCACTCGAGTGGCTTTAATCACTGAGAGGGACTAGTGGTCGCAGCACTCGCCCACCTCTCCCTGCCTCTCCTTCCTTCTCAGCCCCTTTGCGGAGCACTCCGTGGCCTTTCTGTCCCCATTTTGCAGTTGGCTGCTGAATGGTAAATTGTTAAGATTTTTAGGTAAATATCTTGACAGAAAAACAAATTATTCCCAGGGGAAAACTATACCCACACTCGTTCTTTTCGCCCTTACCT